GAACAGTTGGTTCAAATACAGGAAACACTTGTGCGGGTGGGGGAGAAGGACCTTGCCTATAAAATAAAACTCTTTTCCGTTGGAGCTTCAGAATAGATTCTAGAGCTTTCCCAGTGATGATGGCACAAAAATCAGCTACTACAACCCTCAGAGACTGGGAAGAAAACCATACAAAGGGAGGGACTTCAACCTCTACCCTGAAGATGAAGCAGAAGCAAGTGATGGTGATTGGTCATTCCCTACAGAGAGGGAATAAAGCAGTCCAGAAAATAGTGTAATGCCTATCTAGGGCTGTGAAGATATCCAATAATGTGGGAAAATAGTTCAGTTGCTGAGATTTCTGAAATCTTATCCTATTCTCTTTCAATAAAACCTGGTTTAAAAAATCTGGAAGAAGCTTGCTCTTTGTGGACGTGGGACAACTAAAACCTTGACAACTGTGGGGAAACAATAATTGCTTTCAAGTATTTGAAGGACTGCCGTGTAGAGGATGAGGTTGATTGGTTTAGTGTGGTTCTCAAAGGCTAACAGTGGGATTAATATACAAAGCTGTAAATTTTGGTTGAATATCAGGTAGAATTTCCTGATGAGTTGTTCAACAATGGAACCAACTGCCTATGGAAGGTACAGATTTATCTAGCTGAAAATGTTGGTTGTGATCATTTTGCAGGGATGTAATAGTAGTGGATTCCTATACCAGACAGAGAGCTAGACTGGTGATCTCTATAATCTCTTCCAACCCTTGCATTCTATGATCCTATTAAGAAGGCTGCAACTTAGGAGAGTAAATGGAAATGAGCATGAATTAATAAATGAAACAAAAAAAAATAGTTATGTTGTGACTCTAACACAAAGAGAAAAGGGAAAGATGAAATGGAATTGAATGCTAGTTTGGTCTTCTGGAGGTGATGAATCTGATAAAGGTATATGTTTAATTATAAACAAAGAAGCTAAAATGTAAGTTGGAATGTATGAAGTAGTGTCATTTAGATTATGGATTACTTATGAAAGTACAAACTCATAAATTAGTGATACTGTAATTGCATGTTATACTCCAGTGAATGGTGATAGTGTAAAAACCCAGGATGAGTTTTAGGGAAACTCTCTTTGCACCCCTGCAATAGAGAATCATAGGAGATATGTTCTTGGGATCAGAGTTCCCAGCTGTTCATTTATCTGAATTTAGAACTCCCCTTTGGATCTTTCTGCTCAATCCAGAAAGAGATTGGATCTTCATTTGTGGGGATGTGGTCCTGTTCTTCTTTGTACAAATGCAGTTTAATAACATTTGGGGGGGGGGGAAGAAGCTGAAAAACATTCACTTTAAGGCAGCACATACTGCATTTTTGTTGATGACGGTTCAAATGATTGAAGCTAAGCAGGTGCCATGCTTTTAGCAGCTCTCAGGGTCAGGTCTTATGTGTCTCTGTTCTTAATGCTTCAGCGAAATAAAAAGCAATTTCAGAATCAGGAGCTTTTCTGGGATGTGGTGATTATCATTTCACCTCTGAAGTTAATGTCAACAGAATCTTACCTGGCACACCTGCAATTAACTACAAATACAACGGCCCTAATCTTAAAAAAAAAAAAAAAACGTTGGGGGGCCGTAAAATGAATGCAGATTATAAAAAGGAAAATCCTAACATTGCCATTCACATCAAAATCTTTCTGGGATTTAATTAATGACTTTGTATTTCAACATGGCTTAAAGTGAAAGATCAGAGTACTTCAGGATAGCAGGCTCTCAGCCAACATTGTAAGTACTTTATGTTTATATTGAGCGCTAAAGATCACTGAACAATATAGAATTCTACTATCCTTTGCACAGATTAGGAAATGCCACATATTTTGTACAAATATTAAATAAAGAAATGCCTAACAGTGGATAATGATAACAAATGGATAAGCTGCTTTTAAGGAATTTACCCTGTATATCTCTTAACAGGTAATCTCCTCTATAAATGTCAGCATGTCAACATTCTTATTAAAAATTCAGGAACAAATGTTTCCTCATTTTTGTAGACAGAAGATGTGGGGCCCATATGTATGACTGATTTGAGTTTATGTGTGTGTGGCTGTAATAAATGTGCATTGGTCTTCTTAACTACTCTCTGATTCCCTCATGGGGCAATACATTGGAGAGAATATTCTGGGTTTTTGGCTTTTTGTTTATAACCCTCCTTATTATGCACTAATTTGGGGCTCATTTGCAGATAGATGTATAAGTGCATTTTATAGTAAGGGGCTGCAATTGTACAATGAAACCTCAGTTTAATGGGCCTCAATGCAATGATGCCGTGGGCAAAATTCATGTTGGATTTTCCCTCAATTGTGCAGTGATGTTGTTAGGCAAGTTACATTAACTGTAGAATGACACTTGATCTAAAATTATACAAATGGCCTTGTTTGTGTCATTTGTATAAAGATGTTGTTATGGATGCCCTACTCCCTAGTTTAGTGGATCGGTGGAATAATGGGCACCCCTACTCCCCAACTGGTCCAGTAAACTGAAGTTTCACTGTACCAAGTTTCTGCTTTCTAAACTACCTAAAAGCAGCTAAATTATTGTAAAATATCCTTCATATTTCTCCATTTTGGTCATTTTACTTTGTTCTGAGGAGCCACTATGGTGAGGTAATTGTAATGTTGGTTAGGACTGGTGGGGGAGTCAGTCCACCCTCAGCTATGGAAACTCACAAGGCAACTTTGGGCCGGTCACTCGCAGCTTACCCTAACTCACTGGACTGTTGCTGTGGAGATAAAATAAAGGGAGAATCCCCTATAAGTGCTTCGAATTCTTGGAGGAAAGGCAGGAACAAATAAATTCTTAATGCATTATTTTTTAGATTGCAGAATGTTGTGGGCAGCCATTTACTTCAGATGTTGAATATTGACATAATGATTCAAAAAGATTGAAATATGTTTGATTTGTCCTTAGAACATGATATCATCTGAACAGTTACTGTAGAGAAGAAAAAAGTTACACTACCAAGTGCTCTTTGCATATAGTTCTTTAGATGACATTTGGAATATATTTCCTCTGAGATTTGAAAGAAAATAGTATGACATCCCAGTGTTGCTAATTCCTTTAAAAATCAATTCTCTTTCTTTAAAGCAAATTGCTTCAACGTCCCCATGAAATTCATGTGAAAGAAACATTGCTTTTCTATTTTCTACCTTCAAAGTATCATGTAGGACATTTATTTGATCTTGCTATTGTTTCGAGTTCACAGTCTCAGTTCTACATCCCAAATACTATAGTATCTGATGGTATCAGTGTCCAATGTGCCAAAAATTTAAGATATTATAGAGGCTTGCACACCTGGGAAAAGAGTGATAAATCTAGTCATGCTATTTTAAACAAGGAAAATTCCCACTGAAATGATAGATTTTCTGCCTGAGTAATAGCAAGCAGGAGCAGATCTAAAGGTTCTACCTGATATTTGATTTCCTACATAATCCATTTAAAACAGCAGCAACCAATAATTAAAGTAAGGCTGAAACCAGTAAAAGTAAATCAGTAGTTCTTACTTCCCCTCATCTCTTGAAATAACAGTTTTGCACAGCCCATCCTAGCATTTCAACTGTTTTCCTGTGGTTAATATTTCAAAAGAATTATATAAGCACATGTTAGTTAGGGTCTCAGCAAGTGACTGCTGAACCACATCTAAGCTTGGAAGCTAAGTAGGATCAGGCCTAGTTAGTATTTGGATGGGAAACTGCTCAGGATTACTAGAACTCAGAGGTCTCTTCAGGGGAGGCTCCAAGGGGCAAGATGGCTGGCATGAATGTGTAATCGAAACCCTGCCCCTTGATATATTTGTGCAATATCCTTGCTAGCAACTATAGGTAGAGTTTTTATAAATCCAAGAGAACAAATTGTCTCCATATTTCTGCAGAGAAAACAACATAGATATGTCCTTAAAATAACTAAACATCAAGCTCACTTAAAGGGAATGCTTCTTCTATAGTAGTTAGACTTAATTAGAAACTTAATTAGAAATGCTTTTCTATTTTTATTCCTTAGGCCACTTAGATTTCAATAATTGTTCTTAATGTACCGTATATACGCGTGGATAAATCCATCTGCAGATAAGCTGACCTTTGAATTTTTAACCAAAATGCCATGAAAAATCTGCCCCCCACAGATGAGCCAACCCTTGAAATTTTTGTATGTGTTTTAAAATACATTCTGAAGGACTTAATTTATTTACATATTTTGTATCAATAAATGTTTTCTAGAACAAATTCCATTTTAAATTTTCACAATTGGCTTATCTGTGGGGGGCAAATTTTTCATGGTATTTTGGTTCAGCTTATCCGCTAGTATATAGGAATACTTTTAAAAAAGTGTTACAGTGGACAAGCCCGTGCACAGATAAGCTGAAACCATTTTTGGGGAAGCATTTTGGAGCCTAAAATTCTTGGCTTATTCATGAGTATCTACAGTATACATGTATGGTAAGTTATAGTAGAAAATAGTAAAGACCTTTCTTAGAAAATGAAACAAGCCACTTCAGAATCAAATCTTGACTGGCAAATGCCTCTGGGACACATACTGCTTTGCCTTTCAGAATTCACATATCTTGAAGGATGAAGATTCACACTTCCTTAGGGCCATTCTGGAATCTATGTTGACATTTGGAGAGGGATTTGGTTCAATAGAGAGTTATTTAGGGGCTCCTTAGCAGTAGATTTGCTACAGCAGCCCAACCAGGCTCCCAAATGAGGTTAGAGTGAATCAATCAGAGAAATTTAGATTAATACCAGATGAAGAACTTTGTCTCTATCCAGATCCCTACTTACATTTTTGACCTCTCAGTTTGAAAATTTATCTGTTAAAGTTTAGACCTGTGCACTTGGTTGTCCTATTTTATTTGATATAGAATTGTATAGTTACATGCTCTTGTTTTACACTTTTCAGATTTTTAAAAAATGGATTTGTAAATCTCTGTATGAAAAGAGCTTTTAAAATACCTGTTGTTCATCATTTCAATCAGCTGTAGGTATCCAGATGAAACTGGAGTTTTTCCAAAGGAAATTTTGGACTGCCAGTAGGCAGGTATGTTACTATTGGGTATTTAAAAGTCTTATGTCATTGCCTAGCAATAAAGCTGGAAAGAATCAGGAAAACAGAATCTGTCACTTTTTGCAAGTTAAATATAACTGGCAGAAGATGTTTTGGTAAATAAATTCCATCACTGTAGTCACCATCATCAGTTAAAGATGAAGATAGGCTTAAATAGACTAGTGAGCCAGGATTTATTTTTTGAATTGTGTTTAATACAAGTACCAGGAGAAATCACTCAGAACTTTGGGGCACAAGTCACCAAATGTGGATGACTCAGATTTATCTCTCATTTCCAACAGTCATTCCAAATGTCTGAAGACATTTTTGGATGAGAGAGATATCCATAAATAGAATGCACTTTTGATTTGACTCAGTTTCTTATTTTTCAACAATGAATTAATTTATCCTTGTTGCCATACAGTTTTATGAATCCAACACTAAAAATTAAATATCGATATATACTTTTTATTGCATACCATACCATATCACATATTTCTGAAAGTTGTAGATTTCTCTTCATTCAAAAGATGAAAATTGTAAACTGTGTTCAGTGCTACCAATCTTCTCTTTTTATAGTGTACTTCTCTTGACGGTCGATGTTCTATAAGCTGTGATGATGAGGTAAGCAAGACATTTCATACATGCACTGCCAGTTTTTCTTGGTAATGAAACTGCAGACAATTATGCAAAGCATATATTCATACTAAAATGAAACAAAAAATGTGTGTTTAGAAAAGATATTCCATCTACTGGATATACTGATACATGGCTATGAAACCAAGATGTAATTTTAGAAGATGACATGGAAAATTAGCCTTGAGTATTTGCTTCTTCAAAACTAAGGTCCCATTTATCATGGATGTAGTAGTAAAGATGGACTGTGCTATGTCATGTTTGAATGTTTCCAAAAAGGAAAAAAAAATGTTAATGTAAAAAATAATTGAGCTTTGAAAAATAATTTACTCCAGTCTTCTCCCTGACATGTGATATTTTTATTGACTGTGTATGTATGTGTTTGGTGGCAAAATATTTAACTATGCCACAATTTAACTGAAACCTGAAGTGGCAAAATTCAAGAAAAGATTTACTATTCAGTTTTGCTGATTGAATAACCTGCCCTTTAATGTGGCAGCCAATATTTTTTCAATGAGTAGCATTTTTAACATAGAGTTCTTTTTATTCAAACTTCCAAGTCAGTGTTGGGAAGAAAAATGTTTGAGAAGATGCTCTTATTCTGATTTTTCAAACCACATATATCAGTTTTTCTAGTGAATATTCTTTTTACTATAGTTGCATCTATCTTTTGAGAAAAACTTTGATATGCCAGTATAATTTTAAAGTGCAGCTATTAAAAGTAAGGGTGAAGAAACTATTAATTTCATCTTCAATTTTCATTTCTTGGTTTAGAAAAATTGTACTCATTTTATTAACTTTCTTGAAGAAAACAAAACAGAGGTAAAGACCCCTTTACAGAAAACTGTATTTTACAGTTAAGTTACAGCTTGGGCTCTTTTCAGAAACTTCTTATATATTCTAGAATATACTTGTATATAAAGTTTTTATCCCATAAATGGAAGGGGTGCTTCTCTAAATACAGTTCTCCTTTCTCAAATGGATCCAAATGGATCCTTTCTCAGATGGATCCAAGTGGATCCATCCATATAACATCCACATTTGTTCTGCTGATGCACTTTGCCAAACGTTTCTCCTAATTCCCTTTTTTCCCCACAGTCATTGCATTGATAGACACTTGAAATCTCAGTGAAGTTTTCTTCAGTCACCGCACTTTTGGATTTATTTCTCAAATATCTCAAGCTGAGACAGAAATATTGTTTCCTCCTTAGATGAAAAATACAACTTACTGAAATCAAAGACTTACACACATTTTTTGTTACTTTACAGAATATTAATTGTTACCTCATTGATAATAATGGATTTATATTAGTTTCAGAAGACTATACGCAGGTAAGTAGAAATCTGTTTCTTGCCTTCTCGAAAATCCAGCTACACAATGCATTTTGCCAATGGAGTACAGAAATAATGAACAGCATGAGATTAAAAGAATTTTTAAAAGATGCCTTGCCCTGAAGCATGTAGTTTTCTTTTCAGAGGGTCTGAAATAATTTCCTTTCTGATGGTCTGAAATAATGTCTTCTCATTGGGTGGGTCTGCTCTTAAGCTCATAAAACTTTAAGTTATAGAACCTCTTCTTCAGACATGTCTATTATGCCTGAAGATAGTTATGTTAAACATAGATTTCTCCTCAAGCATTTTGCCCAAATTTAGAAAGGTTTGTCCTTACTTTTTGGATTTTGAACATTCTGGCAATTCTATATGAGTGAGTTAATTGTGTAGGATTTGACAGGATTATTTAAGACACAAGAAAAGGAAGTAAATGTAGAAGACAGTACATGATCTGGGTTTTAGCCAAACTTGATGCAGCCCTCAGCTGAAGGCTTTGATTCAGCAATAAAAATGATATAGAACTTGTGAAAAATCAAAAGAAGTCCGCTAGCACCTTTTGTGACTGACAACTGTTATTAAAAGGCATAAGCTTTCATAACTTTTACAATATGCCATTTAACAAAATTTTATAGCCAGAACAGATGGTAGCAGATGACTTCTCATTTTTAGGAATGTATCAGGCTGCCAGCTAACTAAATAGCCATGTTTATACTATCATTGCATCTATCTCCTCCATGATAACTTTAAATATGATAAATGTAATATTTAATCTTTTTGAAGTAAACAGAAGCATAAGACAAACTATTCTTACAATAGTAGCTTAGAAAATATTTGGTAATCAGATATTTTCAGACACAGGGCACAATCAAAAGACATCTGATGCTCATCTGATTTTTCTTCTCTGCCGAAGCTACTCTCTTTTTCCCAAATTTGTTCTAAAACGTTATCTAACTCAACTGAGTTTAAGGGCTGATGAAGGGGATTCTATGATTGAAAAAGTTCTGTCTGTGGATTCCACTAATGAATATAATTTATGGAAACAGGACTAAAACTTGAAAAATAACGGAATATGCTTCCATTTCCCTTTTATGGGAATTCTGTAAACATCCTCTTTCATGGGTTACTGAAAAAGCGGTACAATTGTATATTCTACAAAATTAGTAGTATTGTATGTATACAGTAATTGAGCAGATCAAATTAACTTCTGTAGAACAGAAAATTCTAGGACATAAACTAGCTAAAGTTAAGCAGAAAGTTATGTTCCACAATTTCATTATAAACAAACCACAGACTTTAATATTTTTTAAACAATGAGAATTAAAACTGATCATATTCATTGTTTCAGATTATTTAACCTATATTATATGTTGAGAGTTAATTTTTAAAGTTGATTAATGACCGTTGTATATTTTAAGCATCAGATTTCCTTCTTTCTAGTAACTTGTATATATTTTTCATTGTTCTTCTGAAAGTGAGGCATGTTTAGACATATTTGATATTTGGCATATTGTCCTCCTGATCTCCATTTCTCAGCTAGTCCCACTGAACTGAATATGTTCAAGCTATAAAATACAAATGCTTGTAGCAAATTTTACCCACCCAAACACTCTGGATATAAAAAGGGAACTATTACTTTTTTAGCAGAAAAATGCTTCCGTTTTGGGCCTGGCCTGTAATTTCTTTGCCAGCAAATTCCCAGGTGCATATTTGAGGCCAAGTCTATCACTTACAGCAGTATTGGTATTTCATTAAAACAAACTTCATGGAATTCATGCAATACCCTTTCCCCCTACAGAAATGCTGGGCTTACTTCTTTAAAGAATAAACAAGAGTTGTTCCTGTACTGCAAAATGACCTATGTTGCATCTATGGGGGATTTAAATGTCAGGAAAAAAGCCTGGAGTTATCAAATCTCTTTGGAATTGTCCAGAAAACCCACAACTTAAGACTTTGTTTTCTTATCTCAAATTTATCTTTGTTAGTCAATTCCTTTTTAGTATAATAAACAGAATCCAAATAGCTCACTCCATAATATAAAGCTAAATATTTATGTATCTGATAAAATGTGGAGAATTAAACAGGTCACGTAGGAATTATTAAAGAAAACACTTCTTATTATTTGTTTAGAATATTCTTTCAAACACTATTTATACTTTTGTGAAGTAGAATTTTAATCACATGGGTTTATGTTCAGATTAGAGCATTTTCTTTACAAGCTTGAGTTCAGCACATTTTTTAAAAAAATTATTTCCAGCATCGGATGTTACACAATGAACTGCAGTCTATTATATAAACTCTCACATCTGCTTGAGGAATTATTTTGTAAGCCTTAACATTTGTCATGATATTTAAACCCTTTTCAATTTTTACAACAGTGAAGTAGACTTCAGGACTTCATTTCATACATGTTAATATTTTTCTGATCACTTTATAGAAATGAAATTGTAACCAGTGTTGATTTGCATTTATCTGAAATTTCTGGCCTTATCTTTTGGCTTCAGACTGGAAACTTCTTTGGTGAGATTGAAGGTGCAGTGATGAACAAATTGCTAATAATGGACTCATTTAAAAGGTAAGAATGTACCACCCATTTCTTCTCACAAAAATGAGTGTGTGTATGTGTGTGTGTGTGTGTGTGTGTGTATCCAACAAATTCAAAGATTGCTTTGCATATATTTTTCCTACTGTTCATTGATCTTACTGTACTGTATTTCAGTACTTCTGTGAAGATGTCATCCCAAAATGAAGGACATCCTGGAGCAAAATACAGTCATGAGTTGTTATTTCTGGTTCCTTTAACACACGTATTCTCCAGGATGACGGCCAACCCCACATCCCCACCACACACAAATAAATAAATAAAATTGCATATGGGTTGTTCCCACATTTATCCTTCTTGTCTCAGTGCTGGGGAAAGGACAGTCATACATTGAGAGGGCTTTTGTCTTTCATAGGAATGCAGGTGCACTCATGCTCCAAAGTCAGCTGAAAGGCTTGGCTGATTCATAAGAAACAAACTTTCAGGCATAGTGCAATAGTGAAGGAACTCTGTCTGATTTCATTTCCCTTCTTTTCTGTGGGGAGCTCAATCTGGTATCAAATTATTTCCCTCCCCTCTCAATTTTATTCTCAAAATATCTTCCAAGATGGATTAGGCTAGGAGTTAAATTATGTGCAAGACCATCCAGTGAGTTTCACTTCTAAGTGCATCCAGAGCTCAAGCATCATTTTTGAAGGGGTTTAGTCCAACATTTTAAACAAGTTCTTTACAAATAACCAGGATCTCAACCATATTGAAGAAGAACGACACTTACAGATGAGGCCTTGGGCTGGTAATTCACTATACAGAAAATGACTTGTTCTATTGTAATACTGCTTCTAATAGGTTGTAGCAAATCTCACAAGATTGGAACACTGCCTAATAGCTAGCTATATACATGAAAAAGAAGGAAAGAAAGTAAAGTAAAAGTGGAATGATGGCAATAAGAGAAAGTAACCATCCTGTATGAAAAGAGATTAAAAAAATAAATTAATCTTCCAACAGAATGAGTGGAAGGAGAACATAAAAAAGAGGTTAAGATTCCCAGCTCCATTATGACGCTGGGCACTACACAATTTAACTTCAAGACTTTATGCTACAAACAATATAAAAACAGAAACAATGCATAAAAAAACAGAAGTCTAGAAAAAGAATACTATTTCCAATAAACCACTCATCTTGATATGGGCTCTGCCATCCACTCTAACTTAAGGCTGGAGGAGCCAGGTTTTAAGGGCTTGCTTAAATGAGGACAGGGTGGGGACAATGCGGATTTCATTCCAGAAGCAAGGCCCTATGACACAGAAAGCCTCTTCCTGGGCCTTACCAGTTGGGACCCAGAGCATGTCAACCTTGCTAGATCATATAGGATGGGCAGCAGTCATGGGAGACAAACAGTGCCTCAGATAAATAGATTTTGTGCCATGAAAGGCTTTAAAAGTGATCACCAGTGCCTTGAATAGGACCTGGATGTCAGCCCTCCAAGATAGACCAGATCAGGAAACAGACACTATAGGCTATATAGGCTATAATAATATAATCTTGAAAGCCTGACAGCATTTCCCCATCCCTCCCTCTTATACCAAAGAGAGTCATGGTGAGGTAGTCTTGAGTTTCTTTCTCACACCTTTCTGTTAAGTTCATGTTTTCCCAATGGTTACATACATTCTTCAAAGCCATCTCTGTATTCCTCTACTCTGGAAGTTCAGTGGTAACCAGTGCAGCTCATGGAGCAGAGGCATTATATGAGTGTACGATAGCATTTCCATTCTGGACCACTTATAATTTCTGAGTGATCTTCAAGGGCAGCTCCACATATAGTGTATTGTAATATTCCAGACATAAAGTGACAAAAACATGGGTGACTATCTTGAGGGTCTCCCGGTCCAAATATGGGTACAATTGTTCCACTAGATGAATTTGTGTGAAGGCCTTCCTGGCCACAGCTGTCACCTGCTCCTCAAACAGGAGCTATGAGTCCATGAAGACCCCAAAATGGGCACCACTCTTGAAGGGGAGGGTGCAACTCCATGAAGGACTAAAGGTGGACTATCTCCAAACCTGGGTGATCCAAAACCCCACAGACATTCAGTCTTATCAGGATTGAGCTTGGACCTGTTCCTCCCCTCTGAACATCTTGCAGCATTACCAGATTAGCCTGTGATTGAGATGTACCACTGGGTATCATCAACATACTCATGATACCTGACCTAAGACTGATGACCTAATGTAGATGTTAAACAGGAGAGGCAAGACCATCAAGCCCTGAGGAGTTTTTGGCTCAATGACTCTCCCCCACCAATACCAACCAGACCTGACCATAGAAAAAGGAGGAGAACCACAACCATGCCTCCCATTCCGAATCCTGTGGACTGTCCAGGAGGATATCATGGTTGATTATGTTGAAAGCCCCCAAAAGATCACAGAGAAGCAGTGTAAAGGAATTTGGAGCTGATCTTGGGGAATGTATAAGTGATCTTTCAAAATTGATATCAGCCCTTCAAGGTAGGTAAGGTCAAGAAATAAACATCACAGGGATTCCAGGAATGCTATGTTATGTTGGAGGGTATAATAACAGAATCTTGATTAGGAAACTTCTTGAAACAGATTGAAAATAATTATATTACAGAGCACCACATAAGTATAGAAAAGGATGCTTGGTGGAATGTAAAGTGAAAAAGGCTGTTAATGAGGGGAAAAATGCATATAAGAGAAAGATTGCTGCAACAAATGAAGAAGAGGGAGATATATTGTATAAGATGTATATGAAGAAAAAGATACTTGCAAAAAATATAGTCAAAAACAGCAAAGGATGGTGAAGATTAAAGGGGGCAGAGAAAATACAAAGGGATTTTAATGTAAATAAATACTTGTTTTGGAAGTGGGTGAAAAAGATTAAACAAGAAGCCTCCAGAAAAATGAATGCAATTAAAAATAAAAGTAATGAATGATTTGAATTGGAACTGGAGTGAGGGAATGCGGGAAAAAGTATTTTGGCGATTTGTAAGGGAATGGTAGTGATATGCCCAAAAAGTTGAATTGAAACACATGCTTGAAGTGTTAGGGTCCAAGAAAAAGCTGATGAAAAGGAAGTCATAAGTGCTGTGAACATGTTGAAAAAAGTATTTTGCGGAATTCTGATTGAAAGGATAGAAAACATGAGAATGAGTAAAATCTGGAAAGTGCAGTGCAGCTTAGTACTGGACAGGAGCTGGGTACAGATCAGATTTTCACTCTTCAGCAGATCATTGACAAATGTATGACTGTGAGGAAGAATATTTTTTGTTCTCTGTTAATTTGGATAAAGTGTATGATAAGGTGAATTGGATTAAGAAAAGTTTTGTATGAATATGGAGTTGAAAATTGGTTGCTGAATGCAGTAACAAGTGTCTGTATGTGAATGAATGAAATGCTTAGCAAATGTTTCAGCACTGAGCAGAGGGTAAAAGAAGAATGTGAGATGCTGTGTTTATGAGAAATATACACAGAGTGCTTCTAATGATATTAGAGGTATGTTGGTTGAGGACATAAACGTGCATGTACAATTGCATGATATTTATGTATAAAACAATATTGCAGACATGTCACTTATGTAGGAACCCAAAAATTTGATTTATGCTGTGAACCTTTCCATGGGCAAAGAATGAGATTTCCAGAACAATATATCCTAACCCATTGGAGGTTTTCTCTGCCAGTGGAGGAAATATCCAAAGCCAATCCAAATATCCTCCAATCAACAAGCAAAGAGTAGAAGGAGGGCGGTGAGGATTAGGCTGCAGTGATTTGTATTTACAAAATACTTTATGCTTTTTGTTAAATGTTCAGTCTGACATGAATAAAGCAAAGAAACTGTGGATAAAGAGCTGGTGCTCATTTTTATAATTTTGATAGCTGATTTGAAATGGCTCATGGATTAAGTGTTAATGCTTAAAAAGTTCCCAGTATCAAAGTCAGCTGAGAACAGCTAAGCTCCATGTTGAAAACACCTTGTAAAAAAAGTGAGCTGGTTGTTTAAAAACCGCAGCTGGTCATTGCAATCAAATTTTAAAATGCCAAATGGTATAATTTTAAATAATTCATCTTCCTTTTCCACTGTACAACTGATAGTGGCTGTTGTGAAATAGAAAGTCAATCTCACAATTTATTTTCTGTGGAGGTGGGGGAATCTTTGAATCCAACTCAGATAAAGATTAGTCGCATGAAACTAAAATGTATGATTAGTCATATAAGAATAAGGTGTGCATAAGGCAAAGAAGGGAGAGAAGAGAAGACATTGGGAAGATCAGAGAACAGATGGGCTGATGGGACATACCATGCTGGAATATCAGTAGCACTAGTGGTTGAGGGGACGGAGAGAGGGAGAGAGATGGAAGGTGCTTGAAGTTAGGGATGTGGGCAAGCTGGAGGGCTATGCGATGCTTGGAGTTTGTCTCTTACTGCTGAGGCTATCAGCATAAGGAGGAGCTGCATGACCCACTATCTTGGCAGGGCAGGGCAGATCAGAGTCAGAAAGTTTGGTACGATAGGCCACATGGGGTGATGCTGAGGCAAGGAGGGAAGTGATGGGATAATATTTATCAGCCTTTCCCTATCTGCCCCATGAAAGTATTCCAGGATCCCTCCAGATTTTGTTTTGGTCAAAACCCAGAGCAACCAAAATGTCCCAGGTTTGTTTCTGCCAATCCTCAGCCAATCCAAACCGGTTTGGCAGAACTAATGGTTGCAAATAGGAACCACATAGATCGTGTCAAGTAAATGTGCTCATTTTTCACAGTTAAACTGTTGACCCCAGAAAATTGTGTTGAGAAGTAATTACACCACGCACTTGGCATACATGGTACATAATTGTTGATTGCTATCACTGATGCCATATGGAATCCAGTACGTAAGCAGCCATAAGGGTACAACAGATTGTTAAGAACTGGCCATTGTTTGCATAGATTTGGAAGGGGCCATTTCAACCATTCCATACAACCTTCTGCTCCATGCAGGAATCTAGGTTAAAGCCTCTGACAGATTGCCGCCCATCTTTT